TACGTGTGGCCCGAAGGAAACATTCGGGCTGGCACCCAGGTTCGGAGATACCCCTTACAAAGACTCCTCGGGCCAAACCCCAGACGCATCAGGTAGCAATCCGGAGAAGCTTACCATTTGACCCAGGTAAGCGTTTCCATCCCGTACGCCGGGCAAGGCGTATACCTCCGCAGGTACTCGCACAACGATGGCACGGGCGACTGGGATGCTTACTCCCCACACTGTGCTGCGTAAGTCCACCCTTCGCAAAGGCCGCCTTGGTATCTTCACGTCCGTCGCTTGCCTTGCATTTGTGGGCACAAGGTGGCGTCCTCCAGTATTGCGCGAGATAGAACCGCGAACGGATCGGCGTCGATGCAATCTCGAGGGATCTCCGCGAGCATGATGATAACACACCCCCACAAGCCGCCACGAAATCGCAGAGAAAGCAACAGTTGCATTAAGACTGTCTGATTACAGGGATGCGAGGAGTAGCTGTCGCGGTACTAGAGAAAGGGATTCGGACGCGTCGAGCTCGTATTTCGCGGACGGGCCGGAATCCGGAACGAGCAAAAGACGCACCCCGGATCTCCCGCAGTCTCTAGATCTCTGGCTTTTACGCTCCTTCCACCAGCACCGGCCTTGCCAGGCTCACGCTTAGCCATCGATCCCAGCTACAAGATGGGTCAGAGACAACCCAACTTTCTTAGTGTTCGCGTGCGACGTCGGTTACCAGAATTAAATGATTATTAGTGAGGAGACTTGTCCGACGATGACTATCGATGACTGCAAAGACCGCAATGCCATTGCTAGCACTTGCTGAGGATGAAGCACTGATGTGAGTCTGATCAAAGTTAAAGCTGTGAGTCTTACTAGCCATGCATGTTAGATTTACGCAGACTACTTACACATCCGAGCATGACTTGCAGCACGACGTGGGACCAAGATTAATATCGCGGATGTGCTGGGTTTGACCTCCAACGAGGCCAGTGACCTTGTGCTTGCCTCTGGTGAGTGTCAATTAGGCAGTACCATAGAACATGCGAAAGGCTATCCAGCAAGCAGAGGGCTAGCAAGACATTTTGCCCGAGCAGTGACTATCGGAGCGCACGTTGTGCGCAGGGTAAGAGTCCATTCAAGCCGAGCTGTGGTCCACAGCTGTCCACGGAGTCCCGCTGCCTGGAGTTTTATGTAGGCTAGGCATCAGTCTGGTTTGAGTACGGATAGATGTGTTGTGGCAGATCTCAGAACCATGGCCTTGGTAACTCGGAATGATCAAATGATTTCTCAGAGCTGGGGCAAACTCAAGGCCGTCTGCAACATTATTTACTCTCTTATCCACATTGCACATTATGTTGTGAAAAGTTCAAGTGATGATTACTGAACACTGAACCTTTGATTTGCATGTCTGCAACCTGCAACTCCAGGATGTGAGGTTCCAGGAAGACTCACTTCCAAATGGGGCAATGCCATAATGCGACAGAGTCGGAGACAGCTTCAAAGAGGCCACAGCCGAGCGGTGACCTAACACTTCTTTCCATGCTCTCAAAGGGTCCGTCGGCCCTGCGGCCATATCCTGGCAACTAGGCAGTTACCGGGACGTGATCTCAGGGTTGGCGGACTTTCAAGTTCCCTATAAAAGCAGAGTTCCACCGAGTACGTCTCCCTTTACCTGTCCTTATGCAAGGCTGTTGTTATGCCCGTATGGTGTGATTTCTCCTCCTCGACAAGATTTCTCTCGCACCTGTTGCGTCATCTGCACTGTCTTTGGCTTGCTCCCCGACCACCTCATCCATGGGACTGCCACTCCTTAAGCTTGGAGTCTTGCTCTGTAGTGGTGAGGCTTTGTAAACGGTGACTATCTCATCCCACTTTGTAAGTTGATGCACGCTGACCTTGACCCAGCAATATGAGGATGCAGACACCGTGTGCTGTACGCTTCGTGCAAGCAGAGACCGCGAGGACAGGAGCGCATCGATTGAGCAAGCCCCAGATCGGCGACGCCGATCGGAGGGCGGTGGCGGTGCCCACAACGTGCGCGCTCGGCGCTTGTTTCGAGTGGATAGGTCTCTTCGTTCCGCGACGCGTCTGACTCGCGGTCTTTTTGCTTCCGAATAGGCTCACAATTTGCCCCTCTCTCGACTCGACAGCGGCACAAATACTGGCTGACGCCCGGCTCTGCGTTTGCTCAGACGCGTTCGGTTGCGATCTCGAGCGCGACCTGTACAGAGAAACTGTCTGCGTTTGGCATTGGAGACCAGGATGGGTCGGACGGATGGCTGTATTTCGAGGCGAAGAAAGAAGACGAACGCAGTATAAGGTGAGGAATTAAAGGCGCGTTTTTTCTGGGTTCAAGTGGCTGAGATCCTGCCTGCACCGGAAGCACGCCGTCCCTCGTCGCGCTCAGCGCATCACCCTCCCCGGTATTCAGCATATCTCTCTCGAAACATGTCGCCATACGCAGTAGGCTGAAGTAAGCCCAAGAGCATGCCGAAGGCGCTTGAGACCATCTCTGGACGGCGGAGCCTGCGTAGTTTCAGCCGAGTTCGGTCTCTCGCCGCGTTTACAGCGCCGTCGCGCCTTCGTCGCCTCCTTATCATCAGCTGGAAGACGTCGGTGCGCGTCAGCCGCCGCTAGGGACACGCAGAGGTCTTGAGCGGCTGTCATTCGAATCCTCTGAGGGGATAGATCGGTGCGTAACTGAGTCTTTCTTCGCTCGCTTTACTCTAATCGACCAGTTCTGTGGAATAGTACGGCCGAACCACACAGTTCCTTTCGGCCTGGGCCATGTGCCGCGGTCCCTATCCAAATTCTGCAGTTGCTGGACCGCACCGAGCTCTTCGACGGGGATGATTGCGTCCGCTGCAGTCGATCGACATTGATGGAGCGGTTCATGCAGTGCTTGCGTTGCCGTGCCCACTGCATTCCCTGCCCGTCGGACCGTCTCGCGTGTTGCCATCACGAGTCCCTGCGTTCAAGCTGCCCGGGAGGATACGGCTCGACGTTCCCTGGGGCCCCCGTGTATCGACGCTGTCGCCTTCGAGGATAGAACGTCTGCCACTTCCGGCTATTCTTTCGCCATCCCCTCGATACTCGGTAGATGTCGTGCTGCCCACTCGCCCGATCGCTCTCTATTCGAGGCAAGGTTGCGGCAGGGAAGAAGTCGCCTCGACGTCATCAACTTGAAGCCGCTGGACCACTCCCGTTCGACACCATCCACGTCTCTCTCTCTCTCGACGCCCAGCGACTCCCCCCGACACTCTCCTTGCCTCCCTGCACGGCAATGTAGGGACAGATCAACGTCCAGGGAGCTGCTTATTGAAGCCTGGCCAACGACGATTACTAGACGTATCGGCTTCCGGAGAGCAGGATGCTGGCTGCTGTTCTCCCCGCTTCGTCGAACGACGCGGCCTGCATCAACAGGATGCTACGGCGGCATGCCGCTGTGGACTGGAACATCTCGGTCTCTGTGTGGTTCCCCGATGAATACTGCATGTTTTGCGTTCCGGCGAGTGACACGCGGCCCCTATGACCTGAAGGGCGGCCCGCGACGTCGCTACATGGTCCGCGACCGACCCGGCTAGGTCTCGCACCCCCCGCGCGGGCGTTATGCCTCGCACTTTTTCGTCACCTCGGAGGTCAATGTAGGGTCGTATGGATGTCCCGAGAGCAGAGCTGTTGGAGTCTGGATGGGTGCTGGGTGCACGGGATTGCGGTAAGGATGTGGTGTGTTCCCGTTGACATCCTCGTGTTGCTTACAATGTGTCCAGGCATTGCGGCGGGTCTACGCGTGAACACCTGATGTCCACCATCCGTAGTGCACACGGTCCCTTCATCGGTGCCCCTCACCCCCCCCCCTTTCGGCCTTGCAGATGGGATTGAGATATATTCCCTGCCTCCCCCGAGCCCGGTCGCCGGCCGCTCGACACTGGTGTGATACTTCGGAACCGTCGCCTGCTCATCCGCATCAATGTGGGGACAGATCGTGGTCCCGTGAGCTGTGTAGGGTACGAGCTCGCGATACGCGGTGAGTCATCGCTCATCGGTCGGTCTCGTCTCACGCTGCTTACGAGGTGCCCAGGTATGCACGCGCGTGCTTCGCATTCAAGACGCCAAGCCGGTGCTCTCTCACAACGTCCCTTCCATCCGTCCAGTTCCGAGCGTCCAGTAACATACGGCCTGAATCTCGTACCGACCTTTCGGACTACGCACATATTACCTTTCAGAGGTTTCTCTCGCACAACGCGGCGACTGTCCCCCTTGCTGTCGAAAATACTAAACCGCTACCTTGACCCCTCGGACCGTTTGCAGTCGGCGGGAGACAGAAGTTAAGGAAGGGTAGGTGTCGGTGTCGTCGGCATCGGACCCGGCGGAATGGCATGTTACGAGATACTTAGAGCTGGCGAGTTACTCTCGCTGTTCAGCGCCTGGATGCTTCCATTGACTCGGCCGTATAGGTTCTCTGACCGGGGTCAAGTGCTCTGCAAGCGCCGGCGGCTCCGAGTCTCGACGACTTTCCGACGTTGGGACCAGGAAGGTGATGACAGGTGAACACCGTGTAAGCCTTGTTCCTGTCCCACAGATCTGGTCAAAGACTGTTCCTTTGGCAGGTTATACTAGAATACACATTGTAACTAGTGCAGTAGGGGACAGCTGTAGTAGATAGACACGGGGCGGGAGCTGGCTTTAGGGCCGGCTCTTGCCCAGAATAAAAAGTAGATGCAGCATGGAAATCCTTACTCGAGGCGCCCGTCTTTCTGCCGTGGGAAAGCGCACTTGGCGCAGGAGCAGCACCTCCCCCGCCAAGTCCGCACGAAGAGCAGAAGAAACACGCACCAGCAGAGGTGGGTCCAGGCGAGTTCGACGGGTGCTCCGGGCAGCGAGTGCCGGGCTCATATCCTAAGCAAGGCCAGTCAATCCCCAATCGTCACAGGTACAGCACTCACCATGTTGCCGACACCCATCGCGACCATCGGAACATGTCTGCGTGGCCTGGATGACGCGCTGTCTCACCGGAGCCACTACACTCTAGCTAGGACACCCATGTAGATGATCTGCGACATCGCTACCAAGAAGAGGAATGTAACCCGTCTGCTCCGCTGCGACTGCGTCACCGTCCCGACTGTCGCTGGCGCGTTCACGATGTCGGGGAGTACAACGGATCGTAGGGACCGCAGCTGCAGGTATGTCAGGCACGAGTCAAGTTTAAACGAATCGCGTGGGACGTACCATGAATAGAGCGATAGAGCAGAAAGAGTAGATGAACACAATGCTATATAGTGTTCTCCCCGCACCCAGCAGCCCCGCGAGCAGGGTCATGATAACGCTATGTCCAGATCCAGTCAGTACTGAGCCCGCGAATACTAGAATTAGCTGCTGCGCACCCCACGAACTTGTAGCCCCCGTAAGCGACAATATCTGTGACAGGACTCGAGCTCTGGATATTCAAAAAGTAGCATCCGAGCTTCACGAAGAGGAAATCGAGGAACAGGACAAGGATGGCTTTCCACGTGGACACGCCCAGAATACGCGGGTCGAAGCGGGACTGCAGACCCGCAGTGAACGCAGCGAGCAGGACATACGTGACCATCGCCATTACTGCTCGAGGTTGTCAACTAGGCTTCCGAGAATCCGGAAAGACAGAACATACTGGGTATGTACAAGTCAGGGCTGTTCACGTCCTCCCGTGGAGGTTGCCATTCGGTCGTGCCCTGCTCCGATCGCCGCACTTTTCTCGTCCAGGGCCCGTGCCGCCACGGAAAGACGAGGATTCGCAGCTTGTGCATCACATAGTGGTTGGACACGTTGAACTGTTGTTTGAGTGCGCTGAGCGGGATGAATCCGCCGAGCTGCCCGCCGCTTGTCCGTCAACATACTATGCCATGCATATCTCAGTGGGCGGGCAAACTCACATTCCGCTGCACATACTCCTGCCCTGCTGCGACCGCACTCTGCCCGAGCTGCATCCCAAACTGCGCGGTTGCGGGATTGACGCCCCATGCCGAAGCTATGTCCGGAATCCCGGGTCCTTGCAGTCCAGCGGGCTGAAAGTGGGCTTGGGGGTGAGCTTGGGAGGCATGGG